ATGCAGCAGAATATAGATAGATTGGAGAGTTGGGCGGAGAAATGGCAGATGGAGTTCAATCCAGGCAAGTGCGAGGTGATGCATTTTGGAAGATCCAATTCAAGAGCGAACTATACGGTAAATGGAAAAGCCCTCGGGAAAATTGATACACAGGTGTTCAGGTCCATTGTACCCTGAAGGTGGCAATGTAGGTCAATAGAGTGGTCAAGAAGGCATACAGCATGCTTTCATTCATCGGACGGGTTACTGAGTACAAGAGTTGGCAGTCACGTTCCAGTTGTATAGGAGATAGTAGGAACTGCAGATGCTGGAAAATCTGAGATAACAAGGTGTAGAGCTGGATGAACACAGCAGGCCGAGCAGGACGGCTGACGTTTCGGGCCTAGACCCTTCATCAGAAATGGGGTCTAGGCCCGAAACGTCAGCCTTCCTGCTCCTATGATGCTGCTTGACCTGCTGTGTTCATCCAGCCCTACACCTTGTTATCACAGTTGTATAGGACTTTGGTTCGACCACATTTGGAATACTGCGTACTGTTCTGGTCGCCACATTACCAAAAGGATGTGGATGCTTTGGAGAGGGTGCAGAGGAGGTTCACCAGGATGTTGCCTGGTATGGAGGGCGCTAGCTATGAGGAGAGGTTGAGTAGATTAGGATTATTTACATTAGAAAGATGGAGGTTGAGGGGGGACCTGATTGAGGTCTACAAAATCATGAGAGGTATAGACAGGGTAGATAGCAAGAAGCTTTTTCCCAGAGCGGGGGACTCAATTTCTAGGGGTCACGATTTCAGGGTGAGAGGGGAAAAGTTTAAGGGAGATATGCGTGGAAAGTTCTTTACGCAGAGGGTGGTGGGTGCCTGGAACGCGTTGCTAGCGGAGGTGGTAGAGGCGGGCACGATCGCGTCATTTAAGATGTATTTAGACAGATACATGAATGGGCAGGGAGCAGAGGGATATAAATCCTTGGAAAATATGCGACAGGTTTAGATAGAGGATCTGGATCGGCGCAGGCATGGAGGGCCAAAGGGCCTGTTCCTGCCCTGTAATTTTCTTTGTTCTTTGTTCTTTGTTCTTTAGGATGTATTGTTGTGTTGGTTCCTGAGCTCATTTGACTGTAAGTTTTTTTTTTTAATTTGTTTGCGGGATGGGGGCATCATTGGTTAGCCTAGCATTTATTGCCCACTCAGAACATAGAACGTAGAACAGTACAGCACAGTACAGGCCCTTCGGCCCACGATGTAATCTCCACCGCTACCTTATGCTATCATCCATATGCCTATCTAATAGCCGCTTAAATGCCCCTAATGTGGCCGACTCCACTACCCTCTCCGGCAATGCATTCCACGCCCCTACCACCCTCTGAGTAAAGAACCTACCTCTGACGTCTCTCCGATATCTACCTCCTTTCACTTTAAAACTATGTCCCCTCGTAAAAGCTACCTCCACCCTAGGAAAAAGTCTCTGGCTGTCTACTCTATCTATACCTCTGATCATTTTGTACACCTCTATCAAGTCACCTCTCATCCTTCGTCGTTCTAAAGCGAAAAGCCCTAGCTCTCTCAACCTTTCCTCGTAAGACCTTCCCTCCATTCCAGGCAACATCCTGGTAAATCTCCTCTGCACCTTTTCCAACGCTTCCACATCTTTCCTGTAATGAGGTGACCAGAACTGGACACAATACTTCAGATGTGGCCGAGCCAGGGTTTTGTATAGCTGGAGCATAACTTCACGGCTCTTGAACTCAATCCCTCTGTTAATGAAAGCTAACACACCATACACCTTCTTAACAACTCTATCTACCTGGGTGGCAGCTTTCAGGGAACTGTGAACATGAACCCCAAGATCCCTCTGCTCCCCCACACTGCCAAGAATCTTTCCGTTAACCCTGTATTCTGCTTTCAAGTTTGTCCTTCCAAAATGAATCACCTCACACTTTTCAGGGTTAAACTCCATCTGCCACTTCTCAGCCCAGCTCTGCATCCTATCAATGTCCCTTTGTAACCTAGAACAGCCCTCCGCACTATCCACAACGTTACCCACCTTCGTATCGTCCGCGAACTTGCTAATCCACCCTTCCACTCCTGCATCTAAATCATTTACAAAAATCACAAATAGAAGAGGACCCAGAACAGATCCTTGTGGTACACCACTCGTAACTGAGCACCATGTTGAATATTTTCTGTCCACTACTACCCTTTGTCTTCTAAGGGTCAGCCAATTCTGAATCCAATCTGCCACATTTCCCCCTATCCCCTACGAACATAAGTAGGTAAACAGTTCTGTTTTGTGTATACATAATTTCAGGGTTATTCACCAATTACTATCCAGGGAAAGATGTTGAATCCTTCATGGAGTTCTTTGTTAGGGCTGTAAGCTGCAAGATCAGAATTAGGCCATTCAGTCCAATGAGTCTGCTCCACCATTTGATCATGGCTGATATGTTTCTTAACCCCATTCTGCTGCCTTCTCCCTGTAACTCTTACCAATCAAGAACCTATCCACCTCTGTCTTAAGTTAATTCAGTGACTTAGCCTCCACAGCCGTCTGCAGCAATGAGTCCCACAGATTCAACACCCTCTGGCTGAAGAAATTCCTCCTCATTTCAGTTCTAAAGAGTCGTCTCTTCACACAGAGGCTGTGCGTCGAGTCTAAACTCTCCTATTAGTGGAAACATCTTCTCCCCATCCAGTCTATCCAGGCCTCAGTACTCTAAGCTTCAATTAGAACATCCGCATCCTTTTAAATTCCAATGAGTACAGACTCCAACCTCAGCTGCTCCTTACATAGCAAGCTCTTTGCCCCTTGGAGTATGCTTGTAAATCTCCTCTGGACTCTCTCTGATGCCGGCACATCTTTCCTTAGATGCAGTTCCAAAACTGCTCTCAATATTCCAAAAACAATCTGACTAGAGCCTTCTACAACTTCAGCAGTACTTTTCTACTCTTTTATTCTAGTCCTCTTGAATTGAATGTTCTTTATTGCAATTTTCTTCTTAATTGCTAACTGAACCTGCATGTTTGTCTGCCGTCTTCCAGTCAGCCAATCCTGTATCCATGGTAGTACCTTGCCCCTAACACCATGGGCTCTTATCTTATTTAGCAGCTTCCTGTGTGGCACCTTGTCAAAGGTCTCCTGGAAATCCAAATGCATCATGTCCACTGGCTCTCCTTTATTTAACTTAATCACTATCTCCAGAAAGAATTCTAACAGATATGTCAGATATGACCTACCCTTGACAAAGCCGTCATGATTCAACCCTATTTTACTTTCAAGTCTTCTGCAATCTCATTCTTAATAATGGACTTTAAAATCTTACCAACGACCAAGTTCAGGCCAACCGACCTATAGTTTCCTATCTTCTGTCTCCCTCCCTCCTTAAATGGGGGTGTTCATTAGCTATTTTCTAGTTATCTGGGACTCTCCCTGACTCCAGTCATTCCTAAAAGATCACCAACAATGCCTCTAAAATCTCCTCAGCTATCTCCTTCAGAACCCTGGAGTGCAGTCTGTCTTGTCTGGGCGATTCATCAACTTTTGGATCTTTCAGCTTCCCCAGTATCTTCTCCTTAGTGATGGTCACTGCACTGACCTCTGCCCCCTGACTCTTTTGAAGTTCTGGTATGCTACTGATGTCTTCCACTCTGAAAACTGGTGCAAAGTACCTATTCGGTTCCTTTGCTGTTTCTTCCTCCACATGACTACTTCTCTAGCTTGTTTTCAAGTCCACACTTGCTTCGCCTACCTTTTCAATATCTGAAAAAAACATGTGTAGTAATCTTTTATAGTATCAGCTAGCTTCCTCTTATTTCATCTTCTCTCTCTGTAGCGATTATAACAAGGTCAGCCGGTGGC